CCAATCTGCTTGCTCAAAATAATCTAGCTCAATCATCTTGAGTCTATGAAAAAAAAAAAATAATAATAAAACAAAAATTTTGAATTATTCATCTCTAGATTTGCATTACCATGTCAACTAGTTTGCAAAGGTGGCAATTGGTGGCCCAGCCTGGCTTAGTAGGCCCAGGGATTGGGCAACAAAATGCACTGTACTCGGGCCATGACAGGGCCGGCCCGGTTTGGACCTACCCGGCCCTCTCTTTTCTTTGATTTTCCTTGATTTATGTTTCTTTTTATCTAGCCTAGCCTGCCCAGCCCAGCCCAGCCCGACCCTTGATAGGGCCGGGGCTGGGCTAGCCTTATGGGAACCAGAGCCGAGGCCAACCAGGCCCATTGCCAGCCCTACTCTGTGCTTGACTACATCATAATGGGCTTTGGCTCCAAATGGCACTCTTAGATCAAGGGATGTACTTCCACAATATACTTCCATGTTATCATAAATAGAAATTCAACCAATTTTTTCCCATGGACATGAGGTTTAGGGCGAGGCAAACGCATGTGGTTTATAATGGCATAGTCTTTCAGTTGCATGCCTTCAAGAATGCTCAAGTGGCTTACTTCACGAATTTGCATCCACCTGCAGTATGCTGATGACACACTCATCTTATTAAGCCTCTCATGAACAGGTAAACAACCTATGGCTTTTTCCTGAAGGGCTATATAGTTTCTTCAAGCCTATGCATGAACATGTCCAAGACCAAATTGTTGGGTCGATGTCGACCCAGAGAGAATGATAGATCTCGCCTCTCATCTTGGATTTGGGGCAGGCTCCTGCCAAGCACATATATGAGTTTTCCCTTTACGTGTAGGCCACCTAGAGAAAGGTCGACAAGTCCAAGAAGTAGAATGAATTGAAATAAAACTTAATATATATATATATATATATATAGGAAGATGCTAGGGTGAGCCCACTAGCTGATGAAATAGTATAATCACAATGGCCGAGATTGAATCTGGCCCGATCTGACAGACAGGACTGTATATCGGTAATATAATTTTAATATTTTTTATATAAATCCAAATAGCATGAAATTTGGAGTATAAACTCTTCTCAACAAGGCGCACCTAATAAAAATACTAAAAAAATAATTCACAAAATAAATTGACCAAAATACCCCTAGAACGTTTCAGGGGTA